GAGGTGAGACTGACCGGCCTATAGTTTCCATAATCTTCTAAATCAGATTGCAGATATTTAATAAAAGGATACGTCTTAGAGTCAGTCTCTTAATAAGCCCCATCATATGACAGTATGTGAAAGAGTAAGAACTGTAGAAATACTTACTTTTCTTGATAACACAAACCCTTCTCTTAATTTTTAAAAGTACCTGAATTGATATGAGCTATATAATTTTGTTTCAGTGAAGTATATTGTTTGCAAGTCTCTCTCAAAATCATTTATCTAACACAATCTGAAAAATCTTCCTGTCTAGCTCTACAATACTTAAGTTCAGAGTTTAATCTGAATATTAACACAGCCGTTTTTAATAAAAAAGAGTGCTTTACATGTGAGTTTATCAAATGTGTAATCTCTGACCATAGCGTCTGATTTCTTAAATGCTTTTTCTCCTTTTATTCATAGCACATGCCAAGATTCCACCCAATGCAACACTGATCTTTGAGATTGAACTTTATGCAGTAAATAAGGGACCTCGTAGTGTTGAAGCATTTAATCAAATAGACAAGGACAGTGACAAGAAACTTTCTGAACTTGAGGTAATAAGTGACAAAAAATTTTCTGAACTTGAGGTAATATGATTTAAGTAATTTGGAATAAATTATTTATAAAACTATAGGTATAGTTGCACCAGCATTACCTTGACAGCCTCTCCTGCGGTTCATCATGTAAAGCTTCTGTATGTTTACACAAACTACACTGTGCAATGTTGAAATTTGCTTTGATTAGTACATTAGTATGTCTCCAGCTTGCTGGGAAACAAATTTTAGATGCCTCTGCACTGGAGTCACAATAACTTACGTGTATACCCCAGGTGTCCTTGAAGATAACTGTTGAGTACTGGTGTAGAAGCCACAACATTTTTCTTTTCTTCTAGATAAGCCAGTATTTGAAAGAAGAGTTTGCAAGAGATGGCAAAAAACGTGATCCCTCAGTCCATGATGAAGTCTTAGCTGATATATTTAAGAAGAATGACCATGATGGAGATGGTTTCATATCAGCAAAGGAGTACAATGTCTACCAGCATGATGAACTCTGAGTACTTTAAAAATCTTTGGCTGTTTTCTGGACACTGAATTTTAAATAATAATACTTTGTCACAGATTTTTTTTTGTATTTTTTTATAGCTCTTAAGATGACTGTAAAAATCTTTTTAACATTCAACTAATAAAATGTGTTAGATATTTCAAAAGAAAAAAAACATGACATGGCAATGTGCACTTGCAGCCCAGAAAGCGCAGACTGTTACACAACATTTACATTTTACTCCACTAATAGGAATCTTCAGCTGCTTTATCTTGTAAGGAAATTCCAGCAATATAGTGAGTTAGTGTCGGTAACTACAAACCTTGTTTATCTTTGAAAAGGGAAAATATTGCAAAAGTTATGGGGTTTTTTTCTGCTTCTTTCCTTCAGCTTTGTTCAGCATTGGATAAAACCGAAGAGCTTCAAGTTAGCAATGGCCATCTAGTAAAAGGCTTGGAGAAGATGAAAGCCAACCAGAGTGCTTTACTGTCTCAGCAATAACCACCGCCTTCCGATGGCAGCTACTACTGCTTGACAGAATGAGAACAACATTGCAGATGCTTCTGTCTCTTGCTGTCCGGGATGCTTTGTGTCATGCCTTCTGAGAACAGACAACCCCAACATTTGCTCCGTGCCACCCAGTTGTGGTTCTCTCTATGCAGATTCAAACCGACTGCACTATATACATAGGAGTACCTGATCCAAATGGCTGTGCCTGCGGGAGCCCTTCGGCACCATTCTTTGGGTGCATTTGAAGTACAATAGCTGCCTACCGTATAAGAAGCACATCGGGCGTCACATTAAGTTCTCCATCCTGAAGGCACAGCAGCCATTTCTTGCCGTTTAAAATGGCATTCAAAGAAAAACACTTTAGCTGGACTGGAATTTTGTGTCTTGCTGAAAATTAAGAAGAAAACAAAACCAAAAACACTGTAAGTTTTGGACTTTCTCATGACAGTATCTGTAATTTAGTGACTACGGTAGAGTTATTCATAGTAGATTTTTTCATTTACAAATCACGGTGGAGCCACAAGCCATTACAAAGCAAAACTCCTTCAGTGGAAACCATGGAAGAAGATGGTCTTGGAAGCAAAAGTGACCTTAAATGACTTTGCCAATAAAACAAAGGTGTTTGGAGGGATTTTTGCACCAGTTGAATCATAAGACTATTTTATTTCAGGGTCAATAGGCAATAGCTTCTTAAACAAAGTATGTAATGGGTTTTTTACATGAGAAACTATCTACTGGTCCATGAACTACTAGGAAACTATGCCGCTACAAAAAAACAAGTCTGATTTTTAAAAAAATAACTGATAAATAAGGAGGCACTTTAGAAAATATTGCTGCCTATGGTTTTTCTACAACTACGGAAGTAGTGAATTATTTCCTTCAAAGGTTGTTGTAAAGGTTTTCCACTTTTCATTTTTACATGAGAAACTATCTACTGGTCCATGAACTACTAGGAAACTATGCCGCTACAAAAAAACAAGTCTGATTTTTAAAAAAATAACTGATAAATAAGGAGGCACTTTAGAAAATATTGCTGCCTATGGTTTTTCTACAACTACGGAAGTAGTGAATTATTTCCTTCAAAGGTTGTTGTAAAGGTTTTCCACTTTTCATTAAAAATAACCTAACCAATAAAAACGTTGCAGGCAGATGATTATACACAACTAGCACTACAGCTCAGGTTTCTTGGAACTTATTCTGAATGTACACTAACGGAGAACAGGAGTTACCTGAAGAACAAAGCTGTCCTTCCCCCTTCAGGACCAACAGAACGGCCTACGCGTACTGCAGGCAGCCACTCCCTTAGGAATCTGGTCACATGATGAAGCAGCATTTCTGGGCAGGAGCAACCTCCTGTCCATGCTGACTGCCTCAGTAGATATGGTTCTGTCAAGCCAAATCCAGACCTGGGAGACCATTTCTTCTTAACTTGGTCATCACACTTGCCCGTCCAGATCTTTACCTAGCCTCTTCCT